TGAGGACAGTGATACAGGACCAGCTGAGGAGGAGGGAGAAGCTGAGGATCCCTGTTCCATCCCATCCACAAGTGCCCTCGTGAGGGCCTGGGTGTATCGACCAGGAGAGGACACAGAGGAGGAAGATGAAGACAGTGATACAGGACCAGCTGAGGAGGAGGGAGAAGCTGAGGGTCCCTGTTCCATCCCATCCACAAGTGCCCTCGTGAGGGCCTGGGTGTATCGACCAGGAGAGGACACAGAGGAGGAAGATGAAGACAGTGATATGGGACCAGCTGAGGAGGAGGGAGAAGCTGAGGCCACAGATACGTTCTCAAGGGCCTGGGTATATAGACCAGGAGAGGACACAGAGCAGGAAGAGGATTCAGAAGCAGCTCACTCTGAGCCAAGTCCCTCCCTTCAAGCTGAGAGCACCCTCCACAGGGGCTGGACATACCGGCCTAGAGAGGAGGACACGGGGGCAGGGGCAGTTGCTGAGGAGAGGGGAGAAGCTGAGCCCTGCCCCTTCCGAGTGGCCATCTATTTACCTGGAGAGAAGCTGCCACCTCCGTGGGCTCGTCCTCAGCTGCCCCTCCGACTGCGGAGGCGACTCAAGCCCACAGAAACCCCCACCCGACATCCAGACCCTGAGACGCCCCTACAGTCGCGAAAGGTGGGTACTGAGGGCTCAGTTTCTCAAGTCTTAGGGAGGAGCTGGAACTCCTGGGCCTGGGGCGGGGGGTAGGAGGGCTGGATGCCTCAACTTCTGGGTCCCCCACGTGTTGCAGACGGTTGCGTGTGAACTCCGTTGGGAGGGCTGCATTCACTGTAATGCAATCCTTTGCAAGAGGCTGGGGCCCCATGGGAAGGGGGAGCAGCTGTGGCACAGGTCAGCTCCTGGAAACAGCCTCTGCCTGCAGTGAGTCACGCGAAGAATCCCATGGGCCCCTGACGAGCGAGTGACTCAGACAACAAGCATTTTTGCGTCACTCATTTTTGTTTGGGTTCTCTCTCCCCCTCCCCCACCCCCGCCGTGGACACGCGTCTGTGCTGCTCCGTCTCCAGGTTCGCTTCTCTGAGAATGTCTCTGTCCATCTCCTGGCCGTCTGGGCAGGACCGGCCCAGGCCGCCCGCCGGGGACCCTGGGAGCAGCTCGCCCGGGATCGCAGTCGCTTTGCCCGGCGGATTGCCCAGGCCCAGGAGCAGCTGGGCCCCTGTCTCACCCCTGCCGCCCGGGCCAGGGCCTGGGCCCGCTGCGGGAATCCTACTTCCCTTCTGGCCGCCACACCTGCTGCCCCCCAGATCTCACCACTGTCCTCCATCCAGGCCACACCCTTGAGCCAAGTTGGGGCATCTCCCCCCACTCCTGTGTCCCCGTCTCCTTGCCTGGACCTCAGTGGGAGGCGTGGCTAAGATCACGGAGTTCTGTGTTTCTACTAGTTATTTATTTTTGTGTGTCGTTTTATAATAAGAAATAAAACTTGCTGATTTGTAACAAGCAATGTCACCGTCACTGTGTGTACTAACCTGACAATAATCCACTACCCCGGGGATAAAGGCTTGTACGTCAATAGAGGACAAACTCTTATTTCCCAACATCCCTCAAATTTGCCTCTTCTTGTCCTAAGCTTCTTTTGAACTAAGGGCTGGTGGGTCTTTTTTTCTTTTCTTTTACTTATTAGAGAAGGGAGGTCAGAGAGAGAAGAGAGAGGGAGGTCAGAGGGAAAAGCAGACTCCCTATGGAGCTGGGAGCCTGATGTGGGACTCGATCCCAGGATTTCGGGATCATGACCTGAGCTGAAGGCAGTCACTTAACCAACTGAGCCACCCAGGTGCCGCAGGTCTTTTTTTTCTTTGGTATCGACCTAAATTTTATTAAACTCGACAGGTATCTCCCCAAGGGGACTGGGGGCTGGAATCCCTGATCTGTACAAAAGGGTTCGATTCCAGTTTTCTGTGCCTCCCTTGAAAATACTCGTCCTCCCGCTGGCCTTTAAGTGCTGGCTGCTTGATGATTTCAGCAGTCCAATTTCACCTTCTTAAAGCCCTGTTCCATACTCTTCTTACCTATACAACTTGACTAACAATAGCACATGCCTTATAGGACTGTGAGAACCCCAAAGGAGTTCATATTTATTTATTTGCATTTTTAATAGGTTTTATTTTTAAGTAATCCCCACACCCAGCGTGAGGCTTGAACTCACAACCCTGACATCAAGATTCCCAACGTCCTCCAACTGAGCCATCCAGGCATCCCAAGTTCATATTTAAAACAATGTTCGCCGAATAATAAATGTTAGGTAAGTGTAGCTAATATTGTAATCATTCTCTCTCACCCATGCATGTCTTCAATGACCCATGCATGTCTTCAATGACCCATCCAAGTTCACGTCTCCAACTCAGAAGTCTTTTCTGACCCCATGAGATCTGTCCAGCAGCTGAAAGGCTCAAATACCTTGCCCCTCTCCAGTGGTTCCCCAGGCTCTGGCCACACTAGTCTCCTTTCATTTTCCCAAACCGATCGAGCCCCCTTTTCACCTTATGACCTTTGTATGAGCTGTGCCTACTCCCTGATGTTCCCGCCCCAACCCCTCTGGCCCTAGTTCCTCATGATTTTTCAGACGTGGTGTGAAAATCACTTTTTTATAGATACCTTGATGTGACCCAGCTGACTTGTGCCTCCACACGCTTTTCTCCTTTGTAGCAAAGGAGCATTTTGATTTTTTGTTGCTGTTTAAGGCCCATCTCCCATGACTGTGAGTCCAGTGAAAGCACAGGACTGGGCACGCAGGCAGAGTAGGATGTGTTGGTTATGAGTAAGGTGGTGCAAAAGGAGGCACGCGGGGGCCCTTCCTCCAAATGAGCAGGCACAGAAGCTGGTGAGGGCATGACATTTCATTGCATTACTCACATGCCAGCTTGCCATCGAAACTGGACAAGCAGATGGCAAAGGCTTGGAGCGGGCAAAGTGGGAAGCGGAAATCCATGGTGAACGTGTCTGGGGCCACGCGGCCGAACTGGAGCACCAGGTAGTCGGCTGAGGAGGGAGTCAGGAACTAAGGAAACCTAGCCCCACTCCTCAACTTCCTTCTGCGGGTCTCTGAACTTCGAGATTACCACTTCTCAGAGGCTGTGCGACGCTCCCACTAAGCCCAGAAACCCTGAGGGCCGTTTAAACTGCAGTTCCCAAGAGGCTTTGCAATAACGCGGACCCTGCCCTGCCTAGAAAAACGCTCAAGGGCTGATGGGGGAAGTAGTTCTCGTCTGCTCATCCCTCGCCCTTCCCGCCCTGGCCCAGGTAAACCGGTTCCTAGGAGCTCACGGTCAACCGGATGCACGATCTGGAAGTTCTTGACCGAGGCCCGAGTGACTCGGCCGTGAAAATTGAGTACGTAGGCGCCGCTCTCGTCGCTCCACGACGGGGCTTTGTTTTGCAGCAGGACCAGCCCCTGACGGGCCCCCCGTTGGAGGCGACTCAGTAGCGACTCCTGTTCCTAGAAGATAAAGCAGGGGCGTGGTTAAGCTACCACCACTGAACTTTTTTTCTTGGGATGCAGATTTTGCGTCCCTAATCTCTCTTCCTTGAGAAACACGGAAATCTGACAAACGCCCTCTGGCTTCACATATGACCACCTGCAAGCCATGGGCCCCCTTCTCCCTTAGGACCTAGGGCAGATCCCCCAGGCCTTCCTCCCCGATTGACCCAGAAATTCCCAACCTTAACCAACTCACGTTTTGAGGTTGGACACTGATTCTCTGGTTCTGGGCATCGATTTCTGGAATGATCACAGTCATTTTCCGGGGCCCTCGGAATCCCAAGACGTTGGTCTCCTGGAGGTATTATGCTCCGGTTGGCCTGGCTCCTTCTCCCTCCCCACCGTCCTGCTTCATTCTCTCTTGTCTCCCAGACACTCACATAACACACAGCCCCCAGCTCCTCTCTGATCCGAGCGGTCTCCGGGATGAAATTCTTCCTTTCAGGATTCACCCCATTGTCAAAGATGGTGAACTTGGTGCCCAAGACATTAGATCTGCCCCCAGGAGGGGAGTGGTCAGAGTAAAAATAATTACTGTTTTGCTGTACATTAAGTGCTATCCCACATCGTGTCATCAACTCTTCCCATTAACCCTCTAGTTGGCACTTGGGTTCTACAGTCCCAGCCCCTTCTGTTTCTTTGATGAGCCATGATTTTTAGTCTCCTGCCTTTTAGGCGCCTTCTTCCCCCTAAAATACAAGAATACTGCACACCACAGCCCTGCTCTTTGGGAATTAGGAGTCCCACCCTCTTGCCACCCAATAAGTCAAACGTCTTAAACGTCAACCTCTGCTCCAAATCCTAGTTTTCTTATTTCCACCCCTGCTGGGGCTACCGCCTAAGATATACACAGCCCATCAATCTGTAAGAGGAAAGGTCCTAGAACAGGTGGAACTTGTGTTTGGTGGCCCGATTGTCCTCTCTCCCCCAACCCTCCCAGCACCCCCCCCGAGCCCTCCTGCCGCCTGTTTCCACACATATCAGGGCTCTGCCCACCTGACTTTGCCCACAAAGTTGTCCCCATCCCGAGACAGGTCTGTGGGGTCCAGGGAAATGAGGTAATTCGAGGTTTTGCTCCTTTTTCTCTTGCGCCCAGCCAGGAGGAAGTGCTGTGGGTAGGAAGAATGGCCCATCAGAATCAGTTTCTACTATCTGGCTAGGGTTAGGGGTCCAAGATTAAAAAAAAAAAAAAAAAAAAACCGTGTCCCCAAGGCAGAGGAGAGGGTAATAGAGCAAAAAGTATCTCGAGCCTTGCTCTGGAAGATGTGGTTCTCACTGAAGGAAGTCATCAGCTGGGTCCTGAAGGGGAGCTTCACATCTTAATACCCCCCTCATTCCTTCCGCCACTAGGTCCTGGGTCAGGGCTGAGCCCTGGCAGCGTTGAGCCTAACTGTGGCAGGCTGGGTGGCTTTGGAGACTAGGAAGGAGCCTCCAGCGGGACTTTGGTAGGCATTTCATCAGGCAAACGCAGGTCTAGCACTACTGAGTAGGGGGAAACCCTCCCTTTGGAAGACTGCCTTGAGGAGAGGCCGCCAAGCCGCTGCGGAGGGGGAAACTGACCAGTTGAGAGGGGCAAATTGGCCAGTTGAGAGGGGCGTGGTTTGGCTCTAGACTAGGCAATCCGCGAGGGGAGGGGCTTGGTTCCTAGGGGGTGGGACTTATCCCAGGATTGGGGAGGGGCCTGATAGATTAGAAGGTTCAGTGAGAGGCCGAATTTGGACAAACGCAATGGGGCCAACACTTCGAGAGGGTGTGTAAGGGGTAAGGTTTTAGACCCTCAGACGGCGTGGCCTGACTTTGAGAAAGGTGGGCCCATCTCAAGAGTGGACGAGGCTTAGTTACGGACTTGGTTAGGGCCTATGCTACCGCGAAAGCAGCCTAGTTCGGAGAACGGCAAGGTTTGGCGTTGGCGTTCAGAAGTCCTTGCTCAGTGTCATCATTGAGCAGGACCGGGATTCGTGGAAGTCTTGACCTCCCTCAGAAAGGGGCGGGACTTGCCCCTGGGAGGTGGGGCTTGCTGGAGAGGAGGCCAGACCGCACCTTCCGGCCATCGGCCGCCTCCTGGTAGAGATAGTAGAAAGGGAACATGCCCTTGTCTACGCCGCGCTTGTCGCGGCTGATGCGACACTGCATCGTGCGGCCGCGCAGCGCCGGCCGCAGCACATAAGCTTCCATGTCGTCTCCCAGCCGAGGGCCCGGCGCGCGGAGAGGCGCGCGGGGCGAGCTGCCCACATCACTGCTTCCCGCGCCGACCTCGCCTTCCGGGGTCTCGGACACCTCTTCGGCTGCCGGTGGGGAAGTCCTCACTGTAGACTCCGACTCCTCTTTCTTCCCTTCCAGGTCTTCGCCCTAGTCCACGCGCCATATTAAAATTGAGGCATGGTTTAGACCCACCTCCACCGCAGCCTTACCAACTGCTGATTGGCCATGCCGGCGCAGGGTTACGCCCTCTCCCAACCATGTTTTCTGCCTATTGGTCAAACATCTTAGCTACGTGCTGATTGGCCAGCACCTTCAAGGGGCCCACCTAGCCAAGCCTTCATCATCTGTTCATTGGTCACCACTAATAGCGACCCTCTGGAGCCACGCCCGCCCCATCTACAGATTGGAGAATCTCTTTGAAAGCACTGTCTGTTCCGCTAAAACCAGTGTTGTTTCGGTCTAGATCTAACATGGCTCAGATCTCTGCAGCTGAAACTGTCTTACTCACTCAGAGTGAGTGCCAACTGGCCCTTCCCCATCACTGATTCGCCCCCTCCAAAGCTCGCTGCCTTTCGGTGGGCTGGATTTTGATGTATGCTTACATCAATTTAAATCCTCCAGATTGACTTCATAAACGGTGCACACCCAGAGACACTGGTAGCCCAATCATAACAGGTTCCACCCACCAGCAAAAAGGGCCTCTGATTGGGCTGCAGAGTTTTAGACCCACCCTCTCTCGAGCTTGAGGCTAGCCCTCCGCTTACATCCTGATTGGCTGTGCCACCTCCTACCTTGTTGGAGGCCAAGTCTCCGCGTCCCAGGTCAGCATCCATGCCCCGGTTTGGTTGCGGACTGGGGGCCTCGTATTCATCTCCAACATCCTGGGGTTCACTCTCTTCCTCCGCACTGGCCCCTAAGGGGTGGAGAAAGCCAGAAAAAAAGACTGGTTCAGGGCACCTGGGTCCCAGGAGCTTAGGACCAGGTCAACAGTGCTGCTGGAAAAGGCCAGATATCCTGGGTTCCTGACCTCTCCATATTACTCATGCCAGATCCTCCAGCTCCCCCATGTGCACGGTGTCTACACTGGCTGAGAAGTCTCTCCCCTGGGTCTAAGGACAGGGGTGGGGTTAGAGTCCTCCCTTTACCTTGTCCCAAAGAGCGCATCCAAGAGATTGGCAACTAAAATGGGAGGGAGGAACGGGGTTTGGGGTGATAATCAAGGGCCCTGTTATTGAATCGCTGGTCATGTCATGAGAATAGAAGGAATTGTCATACAAGAAATAACAGTAACGAAGTACTGATGATGCTACAACATAGAGGGACATTAAAAACATGCTAATCAAAAGCAGCCAATCATGAAAGATCATATACTATGTTATTTTATTTCAAAAAGATGTCCAAACTGAGCGGGGGATGGGGTAACTGGGTGATGGGCATTAAGGAGGACACATGATGTGATGAGTATTGGGTGTTATACACAACTGATGAATTATTGAACTCTACATCTGAAACTAATAATGTACCATATATTGGCCAATTGAACTTAAATTTTGAAAAAAATGAATGAAGTGTCCAGAATAGGCAAATCTAAAGAGACAGTAAGTTAGTGGTTGCCTAGGGCTGGGAGAAATGAGATGTGGAGGGGAGGGTGTTGGGGGGGGGGTGGCGTCACTGCTAAAAGGTACAGGGTTTCCTTTGGGATAATGATAATGTTCTAAAGTTGATTGTGGTGATGGTTGCTCGTCTCTGTAAATATACTAGAAATCATGGAATTGTAAGCTTGAAATGAGTAAATTGTATGGTATGTGAAATATATTTCAATAAAACTGTTACAAGAGGGGCGCCTGGATGGCTCAGTCGTTAAGCGGCTGCCTTCAGCTCAGGTCATTGTCTCGGGGTCCTAGGATAAAGCCCAGCATTGGGCTCCCTGCTCAGCGGGAAGCCTGCTTTTCCCTCTCCCTCTCCCCCTGCTTGTGTTCCCTCCCTCACTGTGTGCTTCTCTCTCTGTGTATCAAATAAATAAAATCTTAAAAAACAAAACTGTTACAAGAAAGGGGGCCATATGGACCAGGGAACCGGATTCCACCCAGTGTCCCCGAAATTACCAGGTCGTTGGTGGGCTGGCCAACCCCTGCGTCGAGTCCCTGGAGGCTCTTTATAAGGAGGTGGAGAAGCGGGGACATCCTCCACGGAAACTTCCTCCAACTCTGGATCAGAACTGTCTGGCAGCCAGGAGAAGGAAAGGGACTAGAGATCAGGATTTCAGGAGGTTGGGGAGGTGGAAAAGGGGCCTGGAGATTGAGATTCCTGAGTGTTGGAGAAGGAGTAGTTTCAGGATCTGGATTCCTTGGTGTGAGGGATGACAGGGCCCCTGGGGTCCTGGACTCCTGGCTTCTTTGGAGAGCAAGGATTGAGATTCCAGACTCCTGGATTCTGGTGGGAGTGTAGTTCTAGGGTATAGGCGGCCCAAGGACTCGAGATTACCTCCTTCTGTCGGCGATGCCAGTGGGCCACGCTCACCGCTGCCATCTCCACCGCAGCTCATGATGCCCAGGGCACTGTGGACACCAGAGCGCAGGTGTGCCTCTAGCACGTTTTCCTGGAGGAAAGGGTTCCCAAGGCCTGGGAGAAGGTGCAGCGAGGCCCATTAACACTATGTACAAATTCCAGTCCTCTGCGAAGATCCGCTCTCTCAATGACTCCCAGACCGCCCTGAGTGACTCCCTGCGTGACCGCCCAAACCCCGGAGACCCATGCAGAACGCAAAGTCCATCCTAAGGCTCAAGCAAGCACATCCCTGCGGCTAACTCCGTGCCTGCACAATCGCACACGCAGCTCTCGGTCTCTCCAGGACCTGTCTTGAAATGATCCAGGCCTCGGCCCCCACCCGCCCCCGGGGCTTTGTTAATTCCAGCCTCCACTCTCCGGAATTGAGTCCCTGCCTTTCTGCCTTTTCCAGGGCTGCCCCCGCCCCCGCCCCCGCCGGGATACAGCCCCGGCTCTCGCGCCCCACCCTCTAGTTGCACCGGGCTCCGCCCCTGCGCTCTCCTTGCTCCGCCCCTGAGCTCTCCCGGGTCCTGCTCCCCGGTGCCCGAGGGCCCGGTACGGGTCTCATCAGGACTCCGCTTGGACCCTCCCTTCTCGGCCCTTGGGGGCCCGGTCCCAAACTCCCGCAGACCCCTCCCTCTGGGCCTAGGCTCCTGCCCGACACTAGAACTTTTCCTCACCGCTGTCACCCGCGAGGCGCTCCTCCCGTCGCCATGGTCGCCGGGGCCACAGGGAAGCGTCGGGATTGGCCTGAACCATGAGGGGCTCTTGGCGCTTCCGCCGCTGCTTCTTCTCAAAGAGCCGTCTCTGCCGAGTGTAAAACGGGGGTGTGGGGCCAGGAACCGAACGGGAAGACGGGGCGAAGGAGGGCCTGGGGTAAGGGGAGGCATGCCTGGAGGGGAGTCCTGGAGTCCAGGCTCTCAGTCCCTCATCTCCTATTTCCTTGGATCCAGGAGTCCTGGCACCCCGTCAGGTCCCCCAGGACCTAGAAGTCCTGCCCTCCAGAACCCTTGTTCCTTAGAAACGTTGCATTCTCATCACCAAGGTCTGCTTCTTTAGGATCTCCAATTCCTATTTTTTCATTTCCCAGTTGCAGACTTGAGGCTCGGAGAGAGCCAAGGAGGGCCAGGAGTCCCAGAACAAGTCCTGGGGTGGTGCTCCTGGAAGCTTTGGAAGACCGAAGGGTGGGGGTGCGGGATGGGGGGCTTGGGGGGTGTCAGGACTCCTTGGCATAGTACCTGCTGTTCCAGCTTCTGCAGCCTCATGGCGATGAGCTCATCCCCCAGCACCCTGAGAGAGGTGCAGGCTCATGGTGATAACAAGCAGGGCACCCCAGCTGCCCCAAAGCCCCTCCTTCCCTTTCTTCTTGCCCAACTTCGGGTTCTGAGCACTCATGAGGTCACAGAAGGAGCAGAACCTCAGTCTGTCCCACCAGTTCTGAAACTCTTTTTCTCCAGCACTGGCCTGTCTAGAATGCAGGATGCAGGAGTCCAGACCCCCAGCCCCTTACTGCGAGGCTGACGGTGCTGAACTTGCAAACATGGTCATAAAGCCATGAAGTGAGTGTGGGCATAATCAAACCTTAAGCCCTCCTGCACCCCCATTTCCATCCTTGCCCATCCTGTTGCCCCACTCACTCTTTCTTCCATGTGTCATTCTCCTGAGACATTCTGGAGAAGCAAGAATGAAGAATCAGGACACAGACCCAAGATCCCAGTGGACTCCACCCTCCAAGACCTGATCTTAAGCTTTAAAATTTTCTCCTGGACCCAAGCAGCCTGAATTCTAGCACCTCCTCCATCAGGGATCCAGCAGCCTGTTTCCAGCTTTCATGACTTTGATGGGCCCAGGAATCCAGTTCTCTCTCCCTCCAAATAGCTAACTCTCCTTTATGCAGGCATGGGAACTTAGGACTCTTGGCCCCAAACACTCGACCCCTGTTGACCCCAGGTGGCCAGCACCCACCTGTCTGGGATGGGGCAGCTCATCTCCTTGTGCCTGCGGAGGCTTTTCACATTCACACTTTGGTACCTTGCCTCTCTGGCCAATTTCTAAACATACCTAACTCTCTCTTTAGCTGGGGACCTAATCTCTGGGTCTCTGGGAATTAAGCAGGCAAAGAGGGCTCAGAGTGGGGGGGGGGATTCCCACTGGGACCTGTCCTTATCCCCTCTCTCCTGGCCCCTCACACTCCACTTCCAACAAAGCAATGACCCTTGACCTCCACTGCAACTAGGCAACCCTGCTCCGGGGTTCTGAAATGGAAGGGCGTGGAAGGTGTTCCTTAAAGGGACCCAAGAGAGCCGGCATCTCTGGGTAGCTCTACTACACACGTGTGTGTGTGTGTGTGTGTGCGCGCACACAACACGCGCATGTGTATATATGCACACACGTATGTGTGCATGCATGTGTACATACGTATGTGTATACGCATATACATATGTATACGTATATGTATATACATGTGTATATGGGGTATACATGTATGTGTCTTATATTAGATGTACATGGCTTATTATTAGATATATATATATCTCTATCTATCTCATATATTATATGTTAGAAATTTATAAGATGACTTGTGCCAATTGCTACCGATCTGTAACTCGCAGCCACTTCTTGTGGAAAAACAGATGCGGAAAACCACAACTGCCAGGAGGCGGAGGCAGGCGCCTCCCGGCCAGCGGAAGTGGCCTCATTTTCCCCTGCCTGCAGGGAATTGTAGTTCTCTTCGAAAGCCTCCACTCTCCTTTCGCCTGAAAGACAGGAAATGAGGCGTCTAGAGTTAGAGCTTCCGAGAAGGGAGGCGAGGCTTTCGAGAACAGACGAGCGACTTCGGCAAGGGGCGGGCCGCTAGACAGGGACCTGGGGACCTGGAGCCAACGCGGACCAATCAGACCTCTGAGGGCGGGTCCTCTGCGGGAAAGTGGGCGGGGCCTCGGGGGGAAATCACCCGAACGCGCCGGAGGTCTCAGCCCGGGAAAACGCCCTCTGCGCGGAAGGAAAGGTGAGGGGTTGGGGGGTCCTAGTTTGGGTCCTGGGGAGGAGCGGTGAAGGGGACCAGAGGGCTGGAAAACTGGGTCCCGGGGGGAATGGACTGGGCACCAGTATTTCTAGATCCTGGCGGAGATGGAGGCTGGGGGCCTGGACCTTTGGTTCTGGGGAAAAGGGGTTGAGATCTCGGATTCCTGAGTCTGAGCGAAGAGACTGGGTGCTGGGAGCCAGGACTTCTGGGTCTCAGGAAGGAAGAGCTGGAGGTGCGGAATCCTGTGTCCCCGGAAACGAGACGCTTTGAGTCTTGACTCTTAGAAAGGGGATGGGGGCTGGAGGCTGGAAGCCCAGACTCCTGGGTCCATGGGAGTCCTGTCTGACTTGGGACAGACATTATCCACCTTTCTGCCCCCCACAGGCCACGCCACCATGACTTCCTCTGGGCCCCGCGCAGCCCTCCTTCTCCTGTTGCCACCGCTGCTGCTGCTGCGCGCTGTCGTGGCCTTGCCCCTGGAGCGGGGGACGCCCAAGCAGGAGAGCCCTGCGACCGAGAGCCCCGTGAGTGGCCCTGCCCTGCTCTCCAGCCAGGTGTTTGCAAGTGGTACTACAATCCCGCGGATCCGCGTCGCCCCTGGGTGGATACTTCCCCCACGGCCGCGGCTCGGAGTTTGCCTGCCATTCTTTGCCGTCCCGGGGCTTTGACGTGGTGAAAAACTCGGGGCGAGTATACGTGTGTATGTGCATATTTCTAAGTCCCTGCTCTGAGGCGTGGGGGAGATGAGGTCAGATTTTAAGTGACAAATCTGCATTACCCCCTTATGTTTTAAGCGCCACCCCCAAGAAGGAATCCGAAAAAAAGAACTACATTTCCCAGTAACACCTAGGGCAGGTGGAGTTCCTTAACTGGGGTGTGCTGGCTTTCTGGAGCTCGTGGGAGTTGTTAAAGCTATGAAGGTAGTCCCCACATGTGTTTATCAGATGCTGTGAAATCTTCGGTCTTAGGGAATTTGAGACTCCCAAGGCCCAGGCGCTGATTTCTGGCCTGACTTCTCCTACAGCCTTCATCAGTAAGGGGCATGTCACTGTGTCTGGAAGGGATGGTTCCATGCTCCTGTGTGGCGGTCCCACCTTGTGAGCTAGGCCTGTGCTTGGTGACATCTTTGCAGGCGCAGAAGTCACTTCTAAGTCCCTTTCCCTTCATTCTTCCCACACATTTTTTTTTTTAAGTTTTTTTTTAAATTTATTTGACAGATCACAAGTAGGCAGAGAGGCAGGCAGAGAGAGACAGGAGGAGGAGGCAGGCTCCCTGCTGAGCAGAGAGCCCGATGCGGGACTCGATCCCAGGACCCTGAGATCACGACCTGAGCCGAAGGCAGAGGCTTTAACCACTGAACCACCCAGGCGCCCAATCCCACACATTTCTTGAGAGTGGACACCAGGGTGATGGTCAGAGAGGAAGGATTGTGAGCTGAAATGCAAAATGCAAGGAAGGGCATTCCAGGCAGGGGGAACAGCCTGGGCCAAAACGGTGTGGTGTGGAGAGCAGAGTGAGTAGAGAGACATGGAGGTGGCCAGTGGGACTGGAGCAGAATGGGGAGGGGGTAGGTCACGTGGGGCCTCAGTGGGGGCTCCCAACCTTACTTCACAGGTGAGGCTGAGGCACAAGAGGGTTTAAGTAACTTGCCTAAGGACTGAGGTTTCTAGGTATAGCAAATAAAAACACAAGACGCGCAGTTAAAATTGAATTTCAGACAAGCATGAATAATGTTGCGTATAAGTAAACTCTTGCAGTATATTTATAAGTTATTTGTTGTTTATCAGAAATTCAAAGTGAACTAGGCATTCTAGCTGTCCTAACAAGGTCACCTAGCTAGTAATTGGCAGCCAGCCCATTGGCTAAACAAAAATGTCCACATCTTGGGGCACCTGGCTGGCTTAGTCTGTAGGGCATATGACTCTTGATCTCGGGGCTCTGAATTCGAGTCCCACACTGTGGTGTAGAGATTACTAAAAATAGAATAGAATAGAACAAAACAGATAAATTAACTTAAAAAAAATGATGTCAACACCTTAATTCCCAGAACCTGTGACTATCTTACCTTACAGGGCAAAAGAGTGTTTGCAGGTGTGATTGAGACAAGGCTCTTGAGATGGAAGGAAAAGTTAGCCTGTGTTATCCAGGTGGGCCCGACGTAAACACAAGTGTTCTCTATAAGAGGGAAGCAGGAAGGTCAAAGTCAGAGGTGATAGGATGACGTAAGCAGAGGTCACAGTGACGCAGAGTCATGTGGCAAGGAACACGGGTAATCTCAAGCAGCTGGAAAAGGCAAGGAAACAGATTCTCCCTTAGGGCTTCCAGAATGAACTCAGCCCTGTCCTGTTCTGGGCTTCTGACCTTCAGAACGCTAAGGGAATACATTTGGGTTGCTGTCAGCTAGTGGGAAGTCGGTATACCCACAGGGGCCTGGCTGAGCCATCAGGTTATCCGGCTCCTACCGTGTGCTCGCGACTTACGAAATGATAGCAGTAATAGATCGAGCATCATGCCAGGCCCTTCATCTCGTGTACTTTCCACCATGGCGCTGAGAAGCAGGGAATTTATTGCCTATTTTATTTTATTTTTTATGATTTTATTTATTTGTCACAGGAAGAGAGAGACTCAGAGAGAGAGAGCGCTAGCAGGGGGAGCCGCAGGCAGAGGGAGAAGCAGGCTTCCGGCTGAGCAAGGAGCCTGATGCAGGATTCGATCCCAGGACCCCAGGATCAGGACTCCAGCCGAAGGCAGATGCTTAATGGGCCGAGCCACCTAGGCGTGCCACCCACCTACACACGCCAGTCTGGGTCCAGGAGCATAGGGATTTTTATCTGTCTTGGTCACTTGCCGAGTCCCCTAGCAGAGCAGCTAGTGCACGGTAGGAGCGCGGGGATTGCCTGATGAACGATGGGTGAGGGTATGTTTCACGGCTCACCAGCAAATACTGGTGTGTCCACCCTGAGCACCCGCTCCATGTGCGGCATCGGGCTGGGTGTCTGTCTCCCCGTGTGATGTCTACTTTGTCTACATCAATGGCCTGGGAGGAGACAAGTGCCGATGCCCAGGGGATCAGCCTGGTCTTACGGAGCAGCTGGGGATCAGAACCGGGGCCACCTGGCTCTAGAAGCTTTGTCCCATGGGGCAGGCCTGCCTCTTGCTCCCAGCACGGGGCCTCGGGGTCCTTCAGCCGGCGCCCAGGGATGTGGGCCCTGGCTCCTAGGCTCGGGGAGAACGGGGGGTGGGGGGCTGGGCGCTATGTTCATCCCTGTCCCCTCAGGACACCGGCCTGTACTACCACCGGTACCTCCAGGAAGTCATCAACGTGCTGGAGACGGACGGGCATTTCCGCGAGAAGCTACAGGCTGCGAACGCCGAGGACATCAAGGTTCGGCGGGGCGCGGGCCAGGTGGGCGGGAACGAGGGGCGCGTGCTCGGAGGACCGGCCTGTTGCTCTACCCTTCCATGCTGTGTGACCGCCCCGCGCCGTGCCTCAGTTTCCCCATCTGCAAAGCGGGCGCGCTAGCCGAGTCTGCATTACAGGGTTCAGCTTAGGATCATCAGAGGTGAGATGCGTCAAGGATGGAGACGCACAGGGTGGCGGTCCTCGCACCTGCCGTGCACGTGCAGGTCCCCCGAGGGCCAGG